CCCCAAAACCCCAAAACCCCAAAACCCCAAAACCCCTGTTTATGAGACCCAAATTGATTTTTAATTACTCAACCTGAAGATCTTGCAATTCTTCATAAACCCATTTGGGCAACTCAACTTCTGTGATGACCTTCATTAGCTCAGCTTCATCTGTGATGATGTTCTGTGTGTTCTTTAGAGTATTCATGACCTCGGAGATGTCTGAGTATAGTATCTTGTCTTTCAAGATCTTGAGGATTGCGAGAGCTGTTCTGAATAAGAGTGGGAACCCATCGATGAAGTATAAGTCCCACACTCTTTTAGCAACAGAGACTGGCAAAGCACGAGTGTAGAGAGTCATCACCCATTCGTAAATGTAGCTCCTGGGGTCGATCTTCTCTTCCTCAAAGAACTCTCATAATTCTGGTAGTTCGGTTAAAAACGCTTGCCTGAAGAATTTCAGCCTTTGGATAATTTCATCTGCATTAAATTTATAAAATGATAAAATCTGTGACTTTATCACAAGGTTGTGGAATAGCACAAAAGTGTCATACTCAGTATTGTCCAGGAATAAAAACCCAGCTAGATACGACATGCCTTGGACGTATCCTACATCAGGTCTCATTACAGTAAAAGCACGGAGAATCTTCCGCAAACTTGCGATATTTTGCTGTCCTTCCTCAGTCTTCTGGTTGTACTCCTTCATTGTTGTGAATGTTCTAGGGAGATCATTCTCTATAATGACTATAGATTCTTCATGAGATTCTCCAGGAACCATTGCCATCATGTTGATATCCATATTAGCTCTAATATACTCTGTATCGTGGGTGGGCTGGCCAGATTTTTCAATAGCTGCTTTCTTCATAATAACTTCTCCGATCCTCTTTCCTTTAATACATAGGAATTTATAGTAGTCCCTAGAAATTGAGGCTGGGTTTCCTGAGATGCTCCTCCAGATCTTGCCCCGAAGATTATCAGGGACCTGGTAGATGACCATATCTCTCACCTTATCCGTATCCTTAAGCTTATCCATATTTGGAAGAAGTTCATCAACCCAAAATTTGCTTATACTCTAAAAATCACAAACCACAGACTTACATCTTCCGTTTGGTCTCCAAGCCGGTCCTGGATTTTGGGTTTCTTACTAGGATCCTTACAGTCAGAATCGGGTAACTTTTCAAAGAAGACATCTTCCTTACTCTTGACTTCTTCTTCAAGGATGTCTTCCGCTTCAACTTCGATTTCACAATCATTCATCTCTTCAAGGTCTTCGTCATCAAGAGTTTTGATTTCGATCCTATTGAGCTGGTTCTGCTTCTTCATCTCATCATGGACTTGCAGAGGGGCCTTGATGTCACCTTCCTTGTTCATGAACGAGAAGCCAGGACGGCTAGTGCGATACCCATATTCTGAGCTTCTTTTCTGACAGACCGGATCGTCAGTGGATTTGAGCGTGGTGATGGACATTCCTGCAGAATCGAATAACCGGGAGTTTCCTTTGAGACCCTTAGCTGCTTTGATAAAATTCAAAACTCCATCGTAGTAATTACCCCAGGCATAAATCTTGCTCCTATGCTCGTTGAGAGCGAAGACATGATTTGTGCCAGTTATCAAAGTCGTTATTTCCTCCTCAATACTGAGATTGACAGGATGAGGTGATAATGCATCATCTGTCTTATTATTCCCGAGTCAGCCAGTATCCCCTTTGCCCCAAGAATAGACAATATTTTTCTCAGAATCAATCACTGTAGTAACCATTTCTCCAGTGTCCAAGGTATGAGTGATAGGAATGGGAATTTCATTCCGAATCTTGCAGCATGCCAGGGAGCAATCATCAGTAGTATGAATAGATTCAACTGTAAAATCGAGCAAATCATACAGCATTGTAGGCTCCTCCTTATCGTCTGTATCACCGAGACCGAGCCTTCCGTTCTTACCACTCCCAAAAGCGTAGCAGAACCCGGAAGTAGTCAACAAAAGGCAATGATTTCTTCCACAAGAGATGCTTGACACATAATTATAATTTTCCATACTTGATCCCATGGAATTAATAGAATGAAATTTCAGACTTGGCAAAGGATAATCGAAATCAGCCTTTGCATAAAGTAAACCGCCAGAGAAAGAGCAGATCACTAGCATGTCATCAGTTCAGTCAAAGTCCTTAATCTTGTTTCGAATGAGAGACCTTTTATCCTGTGCTGTATCATTAGAAACAATAACTTGGTCTCCCTTCATCCTGATCTCATCAAGGCTGGAGGTCATTGTCAAAAAGTAATTATCTTCCAGAATCAGGATGTTATTTGCCCTTTTTAATTATTTTGCGGATGTTCCCAACTGATTCATTCTCTTTCTCGCTGTCAGGTCCTCGGTCGTAGTGATGTTTAGAGGATAGCTCACTTATCTCATTTGTTGTCTCATATTTTGTATCCTCCTCCTCTTCCTATATTTGTGAGAAATGTTTGAAACCAAATTCATAAATCGAAGGTCATAGTTATTATCCTGCACTAGAGTTATCACAACAACTACTAAAGATTAAGAAGAATCAGCCAAAGGAAATGATAAAAAAGACTCTGAATTGGGGTATTTATGAAACTTCACAAATTGAGGATTCTTGATTAAATCTATATCCTACAAATCATATTTAAAAATAGATCTAGAAATATCCACCATAATCTACCCCAGTATTCTCTCTGTCCAAAACCTTCAAAAAACTACCACAACCACCTCCTACATCCAAACCCCATTTCTAAACTCCTAAAAACCATTCAAACCTCCCAATTCCCTCTCCCAAACCCCATTCACCCTCCTATCCCTCTTTACAATCCCTACTCTCCACTCCCCCTCCAAAACCCGCCTCCTACACAACCCCTCATCCTATCCTCACCCGCATACCCCTTCCGAACAAACCCTAAACTTACATCAGAGATATAGTCATAATAGTTCAGTCTGGAATTACTCATATTTTTGAAATTCTTAATAATTATTCAGTTTTAGTTGTTAAAAAAGGGGTTTTGGGGTTTTGGGGTTTTGGGGTTTTGGGGTTTTGGGGTTTTGGGG